CCCCCCCCCCAAACCAGCTGATCAGTCTGTTCTTCCGTTTGTGTTACTATTATAGCAAATCGCATTGAATTTTATCCTTACTGTTTACATGTCACGCATTTAAATAACGGCTTTTTGCGCCTATTGCTTTAATTTTCTGCTTACTTAATTGTTTAATTTGTCCGCATTAATGTATCGACAATGCATCTAGCTTTTGTTTAAACTACCACGAATGGAAAATTATGGTCAATTAATTTAGCAAACGACAATTTTCATAATTTATGTCGGCGCTTGAATTCATTATTCCATAATAGCGAAGTGTGTTTCCATCATTGTCGTTTTGAAAATAATTTATCATGAATTGTTATTATTTCCAGAGATGCTAAAATTTTTTACGCACTCATTTTATCATTTTTAAATAAATTTATCAATGGCTTTTTTTGCTCTTATTTTCCAACGTTAATATGTTTTTGCTCTTTCAAATTCCTTTGAGCGTATCTACTTCCTTGTTGTCATAATTCTCTTTTAATGTTGAAAAACTTTTGTTTACGGGAAAAATTCTCAAAGTAATTTTACATTATGATGTAACGTAATTATGCGAATATATCCTCCTTTTTTCATAAACTAGGAATCTTTATGCCAATATTGATTTCTTAAAATCTGTTCCTGGCGAATTGAACAACATTCTATATTATAAATTATTTTAAACTGTCTCTTAACTCTTAGCAGCGTAGTAAAAATGAGTTTTTCAAAAGTATAATCTAATATTTATTTCAATTTTTCTTAAAGTCCATCATTTTTGCATTAAATTGCATATTTAATGCAAATATACGCATTGTTGGTATAAATGTTGATGTATAAAGATAGTCTCTATGCTTTTTCATATATTTATCCTTGTTATAAACAATCACAAGCATTTGCTTTATGACCTTGTTTGTAATTCTGCCTTAATGAATTCCCTGGCATTGTGAAATGATGGTGTTTCAAAGCTACCATTAGGCATTTAAAATCAAAAATAAATTAAAACGAAGCGGATTTAAAATAAATTAATAAATTTAACACAGTGGTGTATCTCCTAGAATTTTTATAAAATGCCGTTGAGAGCTCAAAGCGAAGAATGCCTTGACACTTACTATGACGCAGATTTTACAAAATCGATTACTGTTGACAACGCGCAGGGCGAATGTTTCTCATCAAATGGGAGACAATATTTAAGGAAATATCAGAATTTAAGGATTCCCAACTTAGGTAAAATTTATATGACTAATTTTTTTAAATCTCCTTTTTTTCTAAATTTATAATATTATTACTCATTCTCTATTTGACAATATAATAATTTCACTGTTATTCTGTTTTGCTCAGTCGGAAATCTCAACTGCTTTGGATCGAGTCTTCGATTTTATCAATCCAATACCGATCTATCTACTTCTACCGATATCCCCTGTCTTGTCAACCGACTTCAATCAACAAACCCTGCGGTTCAAGCAACGGCTGCCGCTTGCATACAGCACGTCATTTTCAAAAATGAAGATGCAAAGAAAGAAGCTTGGTACAAAAATGCACTCCTTATTCGCTAGTGTTCATTGTATTTATCTCTGATTCCTGTTTTCTTCTCCATATAGGCAGTCTGGGGCACTCAGTGGATTGATCAAACTGTTAATTTCAGACGATCCTTCAGTAGTTGCAAATTCAACCGCAGCCTTACGAAATCTAACCTCTGGTTCAAATGTTCAGATCTGTGTATGATCTTTTTATTACTTTACCTAACTAATCGGTTCACAAACGTGGATTTTTGTGTCATAAAGAAGTGAACCCCAAAGCTAACACTATAAAGTTGAATCTCGCACTGAACAAATTTGCATTGCCTTAAGCTTGGTTGCTGAAATTTCCTTCTCCTTCTCGATAGTTATCCGGTAATCTGGTTGGTGTGTAACAGCTAATCAAATGGTAGTGAAAGCCACCGTTGCGCCATCGATTTGAAAGATTCAATGTGGTTCTAGGCGCAACGGACTTGAACTCAGTGCCAATGTTTAAAGATAGCGTACTATTTACTAAATTTAGCTAAAGCCAGTTAATAAATGAAAGGCTTCCTTTATATATTTTACGACAGAAATATAAATCAACAAAAGCTAAGTCATTTTAAGCAATGCTAGAAGTGGCAAGTTAACTAGCTTCTAGCACTTTGTAATCCGCACCCTTAATCCATATTTAACGATACCTTATCAATACTTTTAACTTCAAAATTCTCAATGGTTTTAGAAGAATATCATTCTATTCTAGGTTGAATTTGAACAGTGCAACGGTTTGAATGCAATCACTTGGGTTGTAGACCAATGTGATAAAGTTGCTTTCAAGTACGAACAAAATGCCAACGATGAAATAGCAAAATTTTTTTCTGAACGTATTCAAAAGATTCTGGACAACGCTTCTGCTATTTTCTGCAATCTCTCAGCCCTTGAGGAAATGAGGAACAATGTGATGGCAGAAACAGTTGTCCCTGTTTTAGCCTCAACTGTTCTTATCCCAATCGCGGAAGAGTCTTATCAAAATTTTTACGACTATACAGGAGACAGTCTGCCCCCATATACAAGCATGCTTTATCGAAACTGTTCTGCTGTCATTCGGTGAGAAAATTACATTTAACTAAATTAAGTTCATGTGTTTAAAAAGTTACATTGAGCTATTCATAAACTTATTGAAGGATGGGTAAAGTTACTTTCTTCTGATTTATTTCCTATTCTATTTTCCCTCGTACTGTCTAAATAGATTATAGATTTTTATTACGCATTGAAAGATTATATTTCGAAAGTATTACTTATATTTAAGTTATTATAAATAACCAACACACAAAATTACTTAAAATAGTCGAAACACGTAGAAAAAACCTGAGAATTGACAAATCTTACTCAAATTTAGCTCAGCTACCACTATTAAATTCCTTGAATTTTGACTTAACCTCTGGTTCCACATAAAAAGCTTCATCAGCCCTCATTTTGTTGCTAATAGCGAGAAAGGAAGGCCCTATTTTTTCAGAGTCTACGTATTTAGAATTGTAATTGTTGAAATATTTTTATGAAAGTACTTTTCAACGGGATATAGAATTTTGATTCAAATCTTACATTTAACTGGTGTTAAATTACTTGGATTGGTAGTGTTCGTGAGCTTCTTTTAAGTGAAATATTTATTTCTTAATAAAATGAAACATAAAATATTTTGACGTTCATAATTAATTTTCTAGGTTAAACCAAAGATAATCACATTCGGATCTTCATACAAGATGTAAAACAATCAGTTTTGGAAGAGCTTCATTATAATTTTAATACAAACCCTACTTGCTCATTGAACGTGCTGAAAATGATGAACATTTACTCACAACTAATTGGCCGAGGAATCTAAAATTTCCCTCTATGACGTGGGAACATTTTTAAGGTTTCATTGAATTTCTTTCCCTTTGATAATAACCTTTATGAAGTAACCTCTATTTGTAGCCATTACCTCTCTAAGTACCTGTAGCGGATTGCTACGCTAGTAAAGCCTGACCGACTCAGAAATCTCTATGGCAGATTCTCCAACATCTAGCTAGACTCCCAGAACAAGCTAAGCTATAGCCCAGCTATAAGGGGAGCAGACGTGTAGCACGGAATACGTTTATTCGGTACGTATATTGATAGCGAAGTGTTGAGTTTGGCAAAGCGATTAGTCATCAGATAACTCTAGCACAATTCGTGTGAACATTAATAGCTAAAATATTTCTGAGTAGGGTTATATAGCAGGATTTCTATTTGGTCATTTATGATCTGTCCCACATACCCACCAATGGATTTAAGTAGCAATTATAACATTTTTCCACTATAATAATTAATCAATAAACAACGATTTAAA